TCCGATTCCCCCTGGTAGCATTAACATTGGTCTCATACATATTGTCATACAATTAATATTTGAAACCCAACTATTATTCGAACTTATGATCGGACATAAGTGTGATGTTACTTTATTACCTTAAAGTACACATCATACTTATGTCCGATCATAAGTTTGAATAATTGTTTGGTTTCAAATATTAATTGTATGACTTATACGAAACCAATGGTAATGCCAGGGGGAATCGGACTTATGGGCCTTACTATTTATGAATGTTTTTTCTGTTTTGAAAAATTCGATACGTGATGTATATTTCTTAGTTTTTCAAAGAAATCTACAAATATTTTGATGCAGTTTTATATTTACATCGTCATTTCAATCATCACCATCATTTTTCAAACGAGTTACCTTGAAATATCAAGACGGCATGCTATTCACGAGTCTCGCATCATACGAATGTAATTTTAGGCGATCTGTCTGCATGGGGTGAGTTACTGTGGTGATAAAAATGAAAGTTTTAAATAAATTGTTAATCACTGCTATCATTATGAATATAAATCCTTTATTCGCTATCAACTAATTTATAAAATTATGGATTATTATTTGAATTCAAATGGAAATGGTAACATATACACAATTACACTATTTTCATTTTCCATTTTCCTAGCTTTGAGCTTTGGGTTAAAATATGTCTTTATTCTATAATAGACTATAATGACAGAATAGGCATCCTCCTTTGGCACTGAAATACATGTATTCAAAAAATTATTGTTTTAAATCTTTTTGATTTTTCAGATGATTGTAGCTTACAATTGCTGACCCTGGGAATACTTCTGCATAGAATTGGTACAAAGCTGGATATTGCCAAATATACACTCTTCGTTACCAATGAAGCAGGATCCATAATCACTGGCCAAATATTGAAAGCAGATGAAGGCTCAGAGATCAGCCATGAACAATCCACTAATGGTGACAAAGATGATGTCAAACCTGTAGCATTTGGATTGATGTTTGGCCCAATGTTGATAGCACACAGAGGAGGGATCATGTGATAAAAGTTGGGCAGAGAGAAATGTGATTGTATTGTTGGGACAGTACAGTGATATCTAAGAATATTTTGTGATTGTTTTACAATATTTTGGACTACTATAGATACACTTAAATTTGGCTACCATTTTAATTTGAAGGATTGGCGGATTGAACAAAATCTGCCAAATTAAAAATCCACCTCACAAATTGACTGTCAAGGTCAAAAAGGTCTTTTTTCATCTTGATTCAAATTGACCACTTTTTTTCAAAATCATCAACAAGTTCTCAACAATTCAAATCTGACTATAGATTTGACCTTAATTGACATTCTCAAGGTCAAAAAAGATTTGACCTTCAAAGACCTTCTCAGGGTCAAAAAGGTCTTTTTCAACTTGCTTCAAATGTGCCCATTTTTTCAAAATCATTTACAAGTTGTCAAAAATTCAAATCTGACTTAAGATTGAACTCATAATATTGTGAGCAACTAGGTGGTGACATTTTGTTATGTTAGATAATTGATATAATTGGCCACCTTTAAGGTAGAATCAATCATAGAAACCAAATTTTAAAAGGTCTTATTGGTCTCATATGAATCCTTGACATTTTCATATTTTTTAAATTCCTATTAATTTTTTTGCAAAAATGAAGCATTACGACATGTTAGAAACAAATTGTTTTGAAAATTTTCTCAGAAATCCATCCCAATATTTACCCAAAACCTTATACTGCATGTATGTTTTGCAAGTTGAATTAAACATTCAATGATTTAACTAAATACTTGATTTTCTTGTAAGACCTATCCTCGTAGGGCCCTGGTTTCTTTACTGAGATTTTAGATTCTTTGGTCATCAAGAGTTATCAAAATAAGGCCCATGTGCATTTATTCCATGTATCCAAAAGCAAGATAACAAAATGACTTTCACTCAAGAAAGAGCCCGGGGCCTTATAATGACAAACTGGAATTGGAAAACTTTACATTGGATAATGTAATAAATATGTAAAAATATCTGACTGAGTTGCTCTGTCCGACATGTATGAGACTTTAATTTTAAACACCAAGATAGACATGAACATTGACCACACCCAATATTACACATGTAATTAAGGGAGAGGCTGATAGATGCAATTAAATGACTATCAGTGGATAAAAATAGATGCTATGAAGTGTCTCTATACCTTTATTAAATGATTAGATATCATGATGGCACATATGTTGTCTTAATAATGATTTACCTGAAAAACTAATTATTGACAGATGGGACTCAATGGTATTGTTTGGAATGTGGGATATTGCAATCAAAAAAGAACAATCGTGATCTCATCAGATCAAATTAACTTTCACAAATAACATTTGAAAATGTTGTGAGATTTTAATATCATTTTGCTTTTTAGTGTAAATTAAATGAAGTAAGATATGCCTTGTTTTGCATAGGTAACTATGTAGATCTGGAAATTGTCAAAGGGGGGATAATAATGCGCTTACATACAAGAAAAAATTTGGACTACTTTTCTGAAAAGAACCAATTTTTCAAAATTTTAGGCCCATTTTCAAAATTAACAAATATTTATAAATAGGTCTTATTTTCAGAAATAGTCCTCAATATCTGGCTCTTATCTACGAATTTTTGAGCCTGTCTTATTTCTCAAAATCAGAACCACTTTTAGGCTTAAAATGTATTACCACCCCTTCCCCTATATCTAAAGTGATGATCAATCCCTCATGAAACACTACCCCCCACACTTTTGATAAACATGTGTATCTACAAACGCAATGCAAAGGTGAGTGGACTTTGCCATTTGATGGAAGTGATTTAAATCTTGTGTAGGGGGGGGGGAGAGTAACAAGGCCTTAAAGTAAGACTAGTTCTGAGATAAACTTGGAAACAGTGGACTATAGCTAGTCTTCCTGTTAATTCATGAACCAAAAGTTACTTGTACAAAGTTCTGTACAAAGTTGAAATGAAACTGCTTGATAATCACCACCTACTTCTGCATTGCACATATTCTAACTAGCTGATCTATTTGACTTTGATTGTGTCGAGAGCCTGTGTACTGAAATAACCTTATAAGGCAGTGTGATCGTATAAAACTTGAACTTTGAATAACAGTCATTCTATTTGATCATCACATGTATTCAGGAACCATTCATCATTTGAATTAAGTTGTTTGTGCAAATAAATGAATCTCACTAACGGGTTGGTTTTATTTACTGTTAAAAGGTCAAAAAATAAGATGAATATGTCCAAGGACTGGCGGGTATATCAACGCCCACTACTTCCACATGTACTGTTAGTGGAAGACAGCACAGTAAAAACTGTCGATTTCGAACATGTCTTGTACTGAACAAAAGTGTTTGGATTAGCAGGTGTTCACATTTTAAGGTTTGATTAACATTTAAGTGAATAGGACAACAAATTTGGAACCTAGCGATAGTGTTCACATTGAGAGGTGTTCGAATGTACAGGTTTCACTGTAGTTAACCTCAAGCCTGTATGACATGATTCAGACAAAATACAGTAGTACATTTCTTAACATTGTGATAATATGACAAAAATGTTACTCAGGACTTGACTCTGATAAATTGAATGTTATCATGATTGCCTGATTGCATCAATTTCCATAAGGTCTGTAAGGTAGCTTCTTTCAGTCAGTATGCCAAAATAATCTAAGATTTTGAAAATTCATGATTTTTATCTCCATTGATACTTTCTCTTGAAATCCAATGGAGAAACACATATCAGTTGTACCTTATGTCAGACTGATGTAACAACAAACAAGGGATTAACATGCAAAATGTCACCACCTGCCATTTGTTACAGACACCGACCACTATCTAAAGATAAGTTAGAGACTATGACAATATGTCACCACTTCTGGCACAGGGTGACATAAAAATGATTAGCCTTGCTGACAGGCTGACGGGGTAATTCAGTTGGACAAATCAACCATAGTTGATTGTTTGAAATAAACTTCAAAATGTTGGATAACTGAACATTTTCCCACCTCAATAATTCTACTATAATCTAATAATACAAGACTTTGCCATGCTATAACTGCAATACTTTGGACCCCCCCCCCGGATCCCCCTCCCTTATCTACTTCACCAGCACATCACATTGAAGGATGTGTGTAGTGGGGGGGGGCTTGTAGCTAGAGAATAACAGATGAGAATGATAACATGACAATAGTTTTGTCATGGTGGCAAAGTTTATCTCCATTTTGCGATTGAAAGCCATTATCAGGGTATGAGAGGTAAGTAAACTGCCTGTATCACGACAATGGTATTCAAAGTACCTTATCTATGAGGTCATTTGGATTAAAGTACAGGTCAGGGGGACTGAATTTTTACTATAATATGTCATATATTCACCCTTGTTAAGTTAAAGCCCCTCCCTCTCAAAGGCCAAGGCTGGGTTTGCCATGCCAGAAATTAGCCATGTAGTGTTGTCAAATGTCCATGAAAGGACAAGTGCAGAATTATTATTATGAGGTATTTCATATGGTCACTTGTCAAAAAAACAATTTAAATTCTCCATTTGACCCAATGAGTATTCGAACTGATTGTATACTAGATATAGGCTAGTATATATAAAATGGTGACATATTTTTGACATAGTGAATTACATTCAGAATTTTTCAATATGTGGAAACTGTATTAGTATAATATTGATAGATGGCAGTTCAATCAAATATTTCCATATAATATATAGAGTTATAGGGGAATTTGTGCAATTTGAAATCAATGGCTGGGATATTTTAATTTGTTCGATCATTAGTATTTGAATGAAATATTAATATCAATAACATGGGAGGAAATTGACACAAAACTGAATTTGGCAAATTGTCAGAATAAACTGGTCAAAGGATACTTTTCAAAAATATCACAGAACATTGAAATACCACTTAGAATTTAAAGTAGCATTGCAAAGTTCAATTATATTTATGCAAAGTTTTGATGAGGAATGAATGTAAATTGAGGGGAATTGTTTTTTGGGATCATAAAGGAATAGAAGTTACAACTGCTAGACTACTGCAGTAAGTTTGAATTTCATTCATAATTGATTAAACATCATTAAGTTGCATTATTGAAATGTCATGACTTTTCAATTAATGATGTTTAAACAATTGAGCACCATGTCCCAACTACATACAGGCAAATATAAGATTTTGTTTATATTTTATATTTTTAATGTTTTAACTTTGTCAATAAATTACTTGTATGTAATTGTACATAAATAAAAAGTTTAACCAAAGTCATATTTACAAAAAATGTATAACAAAAACAGTTTATTTGTATTGTAGAGGATTTACTTGAGCGAATCTATGTTGATTTCACAACAAAGTTCTTTGATCTTTGTACAAATATCAACAACAGGTCCCACAGGGTAGTCTATTGCAACTAGCCTACTAAAATGCTTGGGAACTTTTAATTACAAATACTGAAACATTTGTGTATTGTTGGATGTTTGTTTGTTTGTGTCGATGTTATCAAACTACGAAAATTGAAGTACTGTACAAAAGATAGGAAAATATCTTGATTGCAGATTTGCAGGTTACTACTACTACTGTACAAAATGATCTATAAACAATGTCCATGCAGTTTTTCTGAGAACAGTGCATCGGACCCTTGACTAATGTTCATTATATTACATATGTGCAGGATGACTTGACAGCCGGTTCTATTATGTTACATAAAAATTGCACCACGGTATGACAAGTCACTGACTTCTTGGTAAGTGATTAAGCCTTTATCGTTCATGTCCACAAGACGGGGCCAGAGTCCATATTTGATCGCACACCACAGTATACACACCATAGAACAGATAACAGAGTCCAATAGCTTAGAAGCATTTGCGGTGGACAATGGATGGGCCGGATTCGTCGTATTCCTGCTTGGAGATCCACATCTGTTGGAAGGTGGAGAGAGAAGCCAAGATGGAGCCACCGATCCATACAGAGTATTTGCGCTCTGGGGGTGCGATGATCTTGATCTTCATGGTGCTTGGGGCAAGGGCGGTGATTTCCTTCTGCATACGATCAGCGATACCTGGGTACATGGTGGTTCCTCCGGAAAGGACAGTGTTGGCGTACAAGTCCTTACGGATGTCGACGTCACACTTCATGATGCTGTTGTATGTGGTCTCATGGATACCAGCAGATTCCATACCCAAGAAGGATGGTTGGAAGAGGGCCTCTGGGCACCTGAATCTTTCGTTTCCGATGGTGATTACTTGACCATCAGGCAATTCATAGCTCTTCTCGAGGGAGCTTGAGGAGGCAGCGGTGGCCATCTCCTGTTCAAAGTCCAATGCGACATAGCAGAGCTTCTCCTTGATGTCACGAACGATTTCTCTCTCGGCTGTGGTGGTGAATGAGTAACCACGCTCGGTGAGGATCTTCATAAGGTAATCAGTAAGATCTCTACCAGCCAAATCCAGACGGAGGATGGCGTGGGGGAGTGCGTAACCCTCATAGATGGGTACGGTGTGGGTAACACCATCACCAGAGTCCAACACAATACCGGTGGTACGTCCAGAGGCGTACAGAGACAGGACAGCCTGGATGGCGACATACATGGCTGGGGCGTTGAAGGTTTCAAACATGATTTGGGTCATCTTTTCTCTGTTGGCTTTGGGGTTAAGTGGGGCCTCAGTGAGGAGGACTGGGTGCTCTTCTGGGGCTACACGGAGCTCATTGTAGAAGGTGTGATGCCAGATCTTCTCCATATCGTCCCAGTTGGTGACGATACCGTGCTCAATGGGGTACTTGAGGGTAAGGATACCTCTCTTGGATTGGGCCTCATCTCCTACGTAGGAGTCTTTTTGTCCCATACCGACCATGACGCCCTGAAATGACACAAGAGAAATTGTAAGTCAAAGTTCTGCAATAGTTTTACATATAAACTACAATTTGTAGTATAGACATACTTGGCAGTCAATTGCAATGCAAACATGTTGAGCATTTTTACCAGAAATATTATCATTGAATTGATGAGACATAATATCACAAAGAAATTTGTGGGTTTCCAAGATAATTATCCTTTGATATTCAGATATGAGGGTGTGCCATTATAAGAAATGTAATTAATTTTCAAAACAAATCACAAGTTTAACTGATGATTCATAACAAGGTCTTTGGATAAATTGCTGTATTGTTTGAATAGTAATATGATAATTAATAGCAGGCCAGGGAATGAGTCATAACGTCTGCATTTAAATGAGGACATCATCAATGTGTCACAAATTTCTGAGTCAATTTTCATCAAAGTGCAATCACAAATATGATTCATAAGTAAAAATCAATATTGTCTGTATTTGTTTTAAATAAAAGTATTCCAATATAGCACCTATAAGGAAGTAATGTGAAAGTATTTCATTGAAATTGATCGATGTGTGCATTGTACAAGTCACTTCCGGGTTGGGTGGCAGAAAAATATGACCATATAAGGAAATGTCTAAGACCGCCGCCATGACAGTTGGCCGGCGAAAAGCCGGTAAAAGTTCAAAGTTTGCTTTCAAACGTCAATAATATAGAACCAAATGCATAGCTTTACAGTCAAAACGATAAATGGCATTTCTATTCACCCAAAATATTAACTGTCATTAGAAAATAATTCCATAAATTTATGCAATGTGATCAAAAAGGAAATGGGCGTGGCAATTCACTTTCAATTAGGAAAAGTTCTGCACAGAAATGTGGATGCAGTCGACAATTGTATTCCTTTGTCTATTTACTAGCCTGCATAGTTGTAAACTTGTTTCATTCATGATGAATTGAACATGTGAGCCAAATGATTGCATAACTGATTCACCCGCAGCCCGAGCATTTGAAATTGAAAAACTTGGCAACCCGAAAGTTTGGAAATCCCAAGATTGTTTGTTTGTCATCCCAATGTTATGTGTTTTACTGTTTTATCATCCCATTTGCACAAATGATAATGCATTCATAGCTTTACTTTGGCTGTCCATGTTATCAATCATGAAAGAATTGAAATATTTAGAAGTTTCTTACCTGATGACGGGGTCGGCCAACGATGGATGGGAATACAGCACGGGGAGCATCATCTCCGGCGAAACCGGCTTTGCACATTCCGGATCCATTATCCACGACTAAAGCGGCTACATCATCGTCACACATATTGGCTGTTTGGTTGTTCTTGGTTTACACGAAAAGTAAAATTCTGCTCTATGAGCTCTGTACACTGTGGTCTCTCAGAAAAACTGATAACGGTCAGGGCAGAGTAGATTGCTTATATCGATCTTATACCTCGTGTTCCACGAAAAACGGCGTTTACCAGTGAATCATGCCCATATACGGCACATCATATCCCATATATGGTAAGCCTTATGCATGACTCCATCTTACTTTCCATATATGGCACAACAAACACTGAATCAGTCGAGTTCTGGGTTCAAAGGTCGGAGCCCGAAACATGTATAATATTTTCACAATCTTTTAACAAACCAGAATTTGCCATCACATTTCAGATAGTTTCTCATGAAATTTTGCTCATACTTTTGCTTAGGGATTCTGGTAATATTTGTTGGCCACTCTTTGGTTTAGATGAGATGTACTTTTATTTATTTTCACCGATAAGTATCTACCGGTTTTTACTATTTCATGCATATGTGTAAACCGGGCCGGACAAGAGTAAATGTAAAAAGGAGGGGTGTCGGGACATTTTCTGCAAAGATTTCTATTGAAAATCTACAAACTAAATTGATTTGCAGCTTACAATGCTACAATGGGTAAGAAATGTCATAAAACTACATTACTAATTGTTCGTATAACATAATTCTGATTCAATATTCCAATTCATATAAAATGCCTGTCTTTAGGAAGGGGTGTTAGGACGTTGAACTCGTCCAAAAAGCGAAAGTGAAAGAAATGTTTGTAAACACTTCCTGATTCTCTAACACGTGGAATGAAAGAAATGTTAAAATTGAGTTTAATCAAAACAAAAGTGTAAACGTTTTTGCAAGATCATTTGCATTAAGAGTCGTGTTGTGATCCACTAATAGTAAACTATTTCCTGTATTCCTGTCAAGAAATCTTTGCGCAGTACCTGATCGGAGAACTGAATCGCAGTTTTGAATCATTAGTCATGATGGCGTTAAGGAAGTTGTTGACATTTCAAAAGATTTCAACAATGATATGTGTATTTACATACATAAGACACTGGGAAGTGACTGAATGTAGGAAGTCTTCTGTTTTTTCTCGTCGAATCAAAATGAAACAAGTCATAACTTACAACAAATAGTTGTGTGCATTAAATACGAGGCATTTGTCTATTACATGTGATTATATTTTATTAGTCATTTCGAAGAAAAGCTAATAAACACAATTATAAGCATTGTAAATGCCTTTAAAGGAATTATTCTTATTATTTAATTTTGATAAAAACATGTTCGAAGAAATTATCAACTAGGAGGACGAATACCATCGGTCTAAATTAAAGAAAATTAATTTTAAGAGGCATTTATTTTTAGAGAGTACTTTTCTTAATGAGATTTTTTATCATCTTAGGCCATAAATACTCATATTAAAGTCACAAAGTAATAATATTCTAGAACATGGACAAACATTGCCCTCAACCACTCAGACAGAACAGGGGCGTCGGATCTAGGAACCAACAAGGGGGGGGGGGGATTTAAGGTCAGAGAAAAAAATTGGGTCCCTAAAACCCAAAAGTGGGCCCAAATTCTGAAATTTTGAGGACCATTTTCTTCAAAATTTGGCCTGAAATTAAAAAATAAGCCCCCCCCCCTCACCAGATCCGCCAGTGCAGAATCTAAAATGTACTCAAGAGAAACTATATTATCCTTACTCTGCACTGAGCCAATAGGCTTAATGAAATACTCAAAAATAGCAAGGTTTATGTAAAACTTATCAAATCAATTTAACATTTGATCCCATGGTTATATCCCCTAATGCTTTGCCTATCACAACAGGGTGGTCATCCCAGGTCAATGAAAATATTTAATACCTGATGTCTTTATTTACATAAACGTGCAGACATGATTGTTCGTGATCCAGGGATCTTGTCATTTTGCCCATTGCTTTTTTATTTACTAACATGCACCCTTCGGTTTTATATATAGTATTATGTGTTTTAAGCTGATTGAATGACTTTCCAAAATTCTGAACAATATTCTCAAACTTTCGTGCCAAAGTAAGCAAAAAGTAAGTGAGCTACACCCGGGGCCTTACACCGATTGCTAATTTTTTTTTTTTTAATAAATACTCATTTATTTCTTTAAATCATTAAATAAATTTACATTGTAATCACGGCGTAATCGCCCATAAAGGGCATTTCAACTGCCGCTTTAAGTGAATTTAAATACAATATAATGTAATTGAGTCATATTCATAGTTAGTATAAAAATATATAAAATTCAAATACAATCTGTTTTACTGCCTGCCTGTACCCCCGTTGGTGCCCTGAAATTGAATTACTGTTTTGATTGTTTAATTGTGTTTAATAAAATTTATAACTGCCTTAAAGATTTTGGAATTGTTTTCATTTGTCAGATCCTTGTCGCCAAAAAGTAGGAAATTTGTCTTATTTTTTAATGTTTTGTATTTGGTAACATCTAAGTTTAGTTCACGTTTAACCACCGCTAGCGCATTTGTTTCTCTCAGAGGGCAGGACAAGAGTTTATGTTGTGCTGTCTCTCGAGCTCCACAGTCACAATATGGATCGTTAATGAAAGAGAAATTATGGTCAAAAAGATCGGATTTAAAATATCGATTTACTCTTATCTTATTTAGTATAATTTCGTCTTTTCTATCAAGATTCTGTATGTAGGAGGTTGAAATTGTAGGTTCCATGTTATTAGTGAGATGATCGCTTAGTTGTTTTTTGAAAAGTGAGAAGCTGTTTGTTTCCTTATGGTCTCTAGGAAGACGGTTCCACAAGGTTATCATTGAGCAAACTGTTCCCGTTTCCATTTTTTTACTAATGGAGGCTGGTAATTTGTAGTCGTTGGTTGTTCTAAGAACTCGCGTCTGAGGTGATTTATATCGTTCGAAAATCCGTTTAACGTAAGATGGTGCCGAATTGTTTTGAATCTTGAACATAACGCGCAATTTATGTTCATCCCGTCTATTTTGAAGATTATCCCAATTTAATATTTCAAGGGTTTTTTCTGTGCTTGCTCCTTGCATAACACCAGAACAAATAACAGCTGCCCTATAATGTAGCTTGTCTAACTGGGCTAGGCTGGTAGCTGGAGCAGCGTCATAAATGATATCGCAATAGTCCAGATGTGACAGGATAAAGGAAGAGTAAATTTTTTCCAGGTGTTTGGAATTTAATCTATGCTTAAGTGCCATAAGTGGATTTAATAATTTTTGAACCTTACCTTCTAGATATTCAATATGGGTTTTGAAAGTTAACTTTTCATCAAGAATTAGCCCGAGGTGCTTATGATGTTTAATTTGATCTATTGGAGTGTCGTTGAAAACAAACTTAGGATATGTTCTCTCAATTGGTCTATTTGTTTTAAAGATCAACTCGTGACTTTTTTGTGGTGCGAAAGTTAGTCCCCATTTCTGGGACCACATTTGGATATGAATTAAGTCATCTTGAAGAACTTGGCTATCTGTTTGGTGATTTATTGGGTCAACCGGACAAAAAAGTGACGTGTATTGACGTGACCGATTGCTAATAAATTGTGTTGCTTATATACCGTTCCCAGTTTCATCGATTTGAAAGTTTTTCCAAAGTTAGATATTGAAGAAAAAAATTATGAAACATTTATTACACATTTTGGCTAGGAAATATGAATCAAACATTTTTCATTTTCCTGAAATTAACCCGTTTTAATCCCCCTTCCTAGGTATAAAGAGGAGGGGGTTAAATGGCCATACCCCTCAAACAAAACTTATATTTTTACACTAGTCTTGCTTCAAGACCCTGGACTATCTACTTAAACAACTTGTGTCACAAGGGCTTGAGCAAGACTATTTTAACCCGCATATAACGCCGTACCTGGGTAGTAAATTTTGTAAGGAGGTTGTGGAGTGCGGGTGGATGGTAGGAGAATTTTATGCAAAACTGAATTTGAAATAGAGGGCAAAAGTCTTGGTCAAAAACACAGACGTTCGTTTATTCAATGCCCAGGCCCGTAGCCAGGATTTGACAAGGGGGGTTCACTTTTTGAAAAATTCCAGGGGGGTTCACTTGTGACATATCATTAAAATGGCCAAAAAGTGCTCAGAATGGTGAAAACTGCATGATTTTGAAAGATTTTTTTGGCCGGGAGGACCCATCGAACCCCCCTCCCCCTTGGCTACGGGCCTGATGCCCGAATGTTTACCTACATAACTCATTTATATATGAAAAGTACCTGCAACTATTCCATTCAAGTGTGTGCTCCTCTCCGCCAATACTTTCCACGGGGAAATATATACTGGGGGAGAGGGGTGAGCAGTGTGGGGACAGACTTCATGAAAATAAGAATTCATTTTTTGTCCCGGGATGGATATGGTTATGCTATAATCACTATATCCTATCTTTTAGCCTTGGTTGTCCAATCTATATATGAAATTTGCCAGAATCATACTGATATAGTCATCTTTCGCTTGATCTTCGATCTTGCTTACAATATGAAGAATATCATAATGTATATATGCACATACATGTAAGGGAACCAGGTGTTATTCGGGTTGAAATTCAAAACACCTAATCCCCACTACTAATCCTTCATATCTAATGCTTTGGATCAGACTCGGTGAGATCTTATCTTATGCTGCAGCTTCACAGGATTTATAAATATTATACTCTTAGAATAGAACTCGGCCTGCTTGCAAGAACTGTAGGCCAATGTACACTACTGTAGCAAAGAACTGTCTTTATTTGGAGTTGTAGTTACTCTTGCATTAAGCCCCTAATATTTTTTTATTTACTTATCGTGTGTATCTTTTGTCTTGTATCAAGTCTTGGTCTCATTTTTGTTTTACTCCCCCCCCATTGGAATGCTCCTCGCTCGCATTTCTTTTTATTTACCCCCCCCGGGCCCTCCCTCGTGTGTATTATGATGTGGGTATGATGCGCTTCGCTCACATTTTCTTTTTATTTACCCCCTCCCTCGTGTGTATTATGATGTGGGTATGATGCGCTTTGCTCGCATTTTCTTTTTACTTACCCCTTTCCCAAGTGTACTTTAGTCTTGTTCCCCTTTCACCTTTCACCCCCCCCCCCAGCCAGCCGTACCTTAGTCTTGTGCCAAATCTCTTATATTATTTCTATCAAATTTATCTCATGTATGAAATATAGGTGTGCATGTAAGTGGTTGGGGGGAGGCAGGTATTGCACATATTAGCTGCTTCATAAAAAATTATTGCAATCTTAGGATTTTGGCTTATTTGTTTTATTACGTTGCCGCTTGTGCATTTTACCATGCCCAGCCCCGAGTCTAGTACATAAGGCAGATGAAACTCTCTTTTAAAATAGCAAAATCATTTTACCCTGTAGGAGGGTAAGCACGTCCCAGCGTTACGCCAAAAAATTAAGAACATACGACATCAGTCAGTTACCTCCTACACTCAAATAGTAGGGCACGTACATTCAGACCCACTCCATAAATGTCGAAATTTTCGAACTATTCTATGAGATTCAGACACAATCAGGCTTTGATAGTTCCACAACTATGGAGGGGAGTGTAACTATTCGTGAAAAACAGGTTGATAAAAACTCAATATACTCAATTATGCCCGCTGGACAGTTATGACCACATCATGTACCGATTGAATGATAATAACGACACATGTTAGATTATAATTCATGATTGAAATAAAATACAATACAAGATTTGGATCCTATATATAGATATGATGACATATGATTTTTGGTGACATATTGTTAAAAAGTAATCATTTATATTGATTTATAAGACAACGATTAATAGTGACGAGTCCAGCACAGCTCAGAGGCAAAACTCAGCACATGTACAACTCGTCAACAAATCATCACGATTACGCAGTTCATCAAATTATGATATACAAAGGTCAACAAAATGAAAACGAATGTAAACATAAAACAATCTTTAACACAACATCAACACAGGCAGGGAATATGGTAGAAACATATTTCACAACAATGACAACATAAATCATCACGCACATAACAACACAGGTCAACACAATGACAGCATAGTTCAACATAAATGCACAATAACAACACAGGTCAATACAATATCAACATAAATCCACACAATAACAGCACAATGACAATCAACTACAGTCCAACACAATAAAAACACAGGTCAATATGGTATGGTAACAACATATTTATTTTTAACAACAATAACTACATAAATCATCACAATAACAACACAGGTCAACACAATGTCAGCATAGGTCAACATGAATTCACAAAATGAAAACAGGTCGGCACAATGACAGCATACACAATAACAACACAGGTTAACACAATTACAACTTATGTGTCAACATAAAACACCGCACAGTCGAACAAGGTAAAAACACATAATATGGTAACACCATATTTCACAACAATAACTACACAAACCATCACAATAGGAACACAGGCTAGGTCAACACAATGACAACATAGGTCAATATGGTAGCAATATATTACACAACAATAACTACACAAGTAACACAAATCATCAAAATAAGAACACAGGTTAACAAAATAAATACAACACTGCCAAACAACGGTCAATACAACAAGAACACAAGCTATCATTAAAAATCTAAGTAACAATTACAACTAGTAGTTCAGCACACATCACAACAATATAATAGCAACACAGGTAAACACAACTGATGACAACACAAGTCAACACACGACTTACGGCGACATTGATCAAAAACACAATTGCAAATACAAGACAACAGGCCTACAGCATTGCCACTCCGCAACAAAATCAATTATACTGGCATTTCAACACACTAAACACCTTACAACATAACATGCTAAAATTTACCGTATCAGTGTACAATATATCATTACAAAATGCCATATTTCGACATAACATGCTACAATGTACCGTATCAGTGTACAACATATCACTACAAAATGCCATATTTCGACATAAGATCCTACAAATCAATGTGCCGTCTCAATGGACAAAAAATGTCATATTTCAAAACAGCATGCTATTAGATGTGCCATACCCAGTACACAGCATATCACAAAATGCCATAATTCAACATAGTATGCTGTGCCATACCAGTGGACAACGTCACATATCACTACAAAATGCCACATTTCGACATAACATGCTACAATGTAGATGAAGCTGTCTTTTAAGAAATGAAGTTGAACGAATTCAAAGGGTATACAATATGCCATACTACCAGTAGACAACATGTCACTACAAAATTCCACTTTTCGATATATCATGCCAATGTGACATATCAGTGGACAACATATCACTAAAAAAATGCCACATTTCGACATGACATGCTACAACGTGCCATACCTGTGGACAAAACTACAAAATGCCACATTTCGACATGACATGCTACAACGTGCCATACCAGTGGACAACATATCACTACAAAATGCCAAATTTCAACATAACATACTTACAACGTGCCGTATTGGACCAAATCACTATCAAATGCCATATTTCGAGATAACATGCTACAATGTACCATATCACTCAGTGTACAACATATCACTACAGAATATCTTATTTCGACATAAAATGCTACAGCGTGCCATACCAGTGGACAAAATATCACTACAAAATGCCACATTTCGACATGACATGCTACAACGTGCCATACCAGGGGACAACATATGACTACAAAATGCTATATTTTGACATAAAATGCTACAACGTGCCATAACAGTGGACAACATATCACAAAAAAATGCCATATTTTGATATAAAAAGCTACATATACCACACTACAACACAACACAACCTAACACGCTACAATATGACTACAACATAGAAGTAGTCGTATCACTACAAAATGCCATATTTCGACGTGACATGCTACAATGTACCATATCACTCAGTGTAAAATATGTCACTACAAAATATTTCGACACAATATGCTACAATGTGCCATACCACTGTACAACATATCAATACAAAATGCCATATTTCGACATAAAATGCTACAACGTGCCATACAAGTGGACGACATATCACTACAAAATGCCACATTTCGACATGACATGCTACACCGTGCCGTATTGGACAGCATATCACTATCAAATGCCATATTTCGACATAAAATGCTACAGCGTGCCATAACAGTGGACAACATATCACTACAAAATGCCATATTTCAATAGAAATATATTAAAATTGTACATGTTTTTAATGACATTCAGGCTGTATGACCATGATGAAACTTTGAATAATAGACATAATTCACTTTTTTGTATGTTGTTATTTTACATTTAATTCAACTGGAGGAGGTGAGGTTTGTATTGTAAGAATTTGTATTTCTTGTGTAGAAGTATTTACATATGTACAGTATGTGGTTTGTTTTATTGTTCAAAGTCCAAACCCAAACATGGGGAGATTTAATGCTCAGGAATGTTATTCTTCAAGTAGGGCTTGGCCGAACATTGTACTCTGTCCACGTAACCATTCACTTACCGACGTCAATCAACGCCTTATTAGGCATACGTCAAACTAAGCCCCGCCTCAAATGCCCATATTTGTAAGATTAATGGTCTGAGCTTGGCTCATCATTATCATAGCAAATCGGTCGGATTTACTACGAGGTGCAGATGTGGTAGATCGTAGTCAGTAGTGGGATTAACAGGTCTAAAATTAGCGAAACTATTCTGAAGCATTCGTGTTATATGTTTTTGCACCAGCAATGCCGGTTTATTAAGACAAGGCTCGTTTAACCATTATATTATACGGCGTTACTTACCAGCTGGTATTTACCAGGGAGGGGGTTGATTTGAAACGTTATTACTATCTAAACTTACATTGTAATGGAACATACGCCCGCGAATAGATATCATGACGACCTGATCATGATGTCAAAAACTAAACCAATTGTTTAATTTCAAAATATCTTCCAAACACAGTTAATACCTTTTGGATTCATCTAAAATTGACTAGGCTTTTATAATGGTCATGTGGATCAAAAATATATTAACCAACGCATATCAACTTCAAACTTTGATCAGGTTAAGGACAAATAAAATCCGAAATAGTGTTATTACCAAATAAGGGCATTTTATAAGTCTGCGCTCAATATATCAAGGTTGTAGTCCCATGTTCAAATATTTTACTTTTTACATTTCAAGCACTTATTTCGTTTTAAATTCGGCTTTAGAAAGCTGATTTTAAAGAGGAGGAATGCGTCTCAGTAGCTTAAATAGGACGATCCTTTGATTTTTTCAGACAAGTAATAAAAAGAGTCTTACAAGTGGAAACGTTGGACACCAGGCAATCAAAACTAGTGTCAGTATTTTATATTTTAATTCTAATGGGCAATGGAGATGGGATGGTCAGATGCCTGTCCCGCCATCTGGGAACCGCTGGTAAAATACTAAAATTTCAGAAAAACACCGAATAAGTTTGTAGGTACATCTTCTGTCAGAGTGACCTAGAGTGTCACGCATTTTTGGTATTTTCTTGCATGTTGTAAACATCCACATTTTTGAGACACACTAGTCGTACACAGTCCATAACAAAAGTGACTCTTCATCTGAAGAAAAGAGAATAGATCCTCTGGGCTGTTTGGTGTATAGAGTCTAGAAAAGCCAGAGAAATGTATCATATCCTTTATCATATTATTCCATCATTATCATGACATACCCCAGTGGAGGATGTAGATAATATATGTAAATGGTGAGTCATATATCTTTATCAAATGAACATGACATATTGAATTGTGCAGCCCCCCCCCCCTTTAATACAGAATTCTTACTTAACGGAAGAACTCATTGTAGAATCTACAGTCTGGATTATCCCTTGGATAAGCTTAGATAAAGAGAGACTCTGATAAATGCAATATTCCAATGTGTTGGGGAATTATGACACATATATCGGAATCACTATTATGTATCAGTACATTTTGGCATTAATATTAATCAACTAATTGATATTTTTATTTAGCACTTAATTTAGCACTTAACACAGCGAATATGCTTTTCAATTACATTTATACCAGGGCATGCTTTATGAAATGTGTATGAAGTTGCAAAATGCGAATAATGTATTTCCAAAATGTGTATGGAGTTGCAAAACAATAATGTTGGATGCAAATGACATCTAACAGTGAAGTATTTTAATCGGATGGACTTTTTTAAATTGTTTCGAATTCAGTTTAAAATGTCTCGAGTTTATACCTCAGTTTTCCATAGAAAAATAAACAAGATAGTTACATTATCACTCTACTATACCTTGCATTTGGCTTTCATGAGCAACCCATTTGGCTTATTAGAAATGATTATATATTTGTTTTTATTTGTCTGTTCCTTATTAATGGTCGATCGGTTGAAAGTTAGATGTTGATAAGGTACTTTCAAAAATATACTAAACAATCCAATTAGACAAACAAAGTATCTTATGCATTTCTAGGTGTTAGGTATAGTAGTGTGATTATATGTAAATAGAATCATACGAGGGTAACCACAATTTTCATCATTGTGACGAAATATACAAATGGGTGAACAAATACCCACCACAAGAATTCTTACTTCACACTTCTGTATCTAAAACCCCACTATTTGACAAGATAGCATAGGTCCTTTTAGAGATATACCCGGGGAGATATAATACTTTGGAATGGCAGAGAAAACATTTGATCAATTGCAAGGTGCCGCTTGTACTTTTGTCAACATTGTTATGAATCTTGCTTTTTTTAGTTCACGGACACAAGTGAAGCAAATAAATATGCTCGAGTATGCCAAAGTTGATTCCATTTTCAGGAGTTTTGAGTATTCAGAAATGACCAGTGACTAATTATGAGGCTGATTGTTGCATTCTCCATGGGCTGTCACAAGAAACACCACGAAAACATTGCAAAGTAAGTCTCCTCATTACACATAAAAATAAACAAAAAAGCCCATTGGAATAACATCTTTAAATCCCCAAAGCACAAATTGCCATAAGTAACTGGATGTGAGCTGGTTTTATATAATAATAATATCTCACGCCCCGTGTCTACCACTGTATATTCTTGATTACTAGTAAATAGGGGTTAACATATTGCTCTTTGTTTTTCAAATGTTTCCCTTTTGTGCTTCACATCTGGGTCAAACTATTTCAAGGATGTACACTACACTACCCGGGTGCATAGAGACATATACACAGTATTATTTCCCAGATTATTTCATTTTATTGTGCTTTGTTGTTATAGTAATCCCATTTTATTGTAGTCTATCGAATAGACTATGCACATTTGGGATTCTAGTTCAGCTGGAACCTTGGAATATTCAGAGCTGATATTTGGCAAGCTTGGAATATCTAACTAGCTTGTTTCTATTTTTGCAATTTTGACGTAGATTCCGACTGTGCTTTGGTGGATTTAGGGAATGTCATCCGTGAATAGCGTCTAATTTATTTGTACTCGCGATCGTTTGCATCATTTTACTTTCGCCCTTCTTTTTCATCCAATACTAGAGGCGTCTAGGCCTAAGGGTATAGGGTATTCTGATACTCATAGCATCTTTCTGTTTCACCTGAAACATCGTCTCAGGACTGAGAAGAAATTAGATGCCATGGTTTATCATGATGGGTATAGGGTCTTGTTGCAAGATCAGGTTCTTTATAATTCCCGCTAGAGTAATTACCATTTGGAAAAATTGACGTCGTATCTTATTTTGCATTGATTTCTATATCATTAACATAAAAAAATGCAACGATCAGTGGACGTTGAAAATAAGCTCTGGTAGCAAACTAAATAATAATAGTAAAATGTAAAATTCAAATAAATATACATCTTGAAGAATCTCTCACTACTGAAAATAACTTTGAAAAAAAAGAAAACTATTTACAAAGCTGAGACTCAGTGACCATTCATTATTGAGATTGAAGCAGTAAGATACAAAAATAAAAATGTAAATGAACGCTAATGTACAAAATGTTCAGATAATTGTTTTAAAGATGAGCTGCACTTTGTTATGAGATGCAAAATCTGCGAAAGTGAGCGCTCTATATTATTAGATAAAATTCAAACGTTAAATAAGGACTTTTCTAACATGACTGAGGAAAACAAGTTCCTATACATTATGTCATACAAATCAAATAAATTTATAACATCGCAACCATTACAACACAATCTTTGTAGATTAATGTGACTGTATAAATGTGACTGTATAAATGTAGTTTGTATAATTGTAGTCTGGTCATGCCCTGATAACACAGTGGCCGTGCCTTAATAAATTCTAAATTCCAAATTCTAATATACTGTACATCTTGGAAGAAATGTCCAATGGTTTCCCCTCTCAGCCTTCTTCTGGCATACATTCATCTAGAATACAAACACCTCCATATTAGGTAATGGCTGATAATGGATCGGGGTGATTAAATGAGAGAGGACAATTCTCACAGACGGACATTTATCACAGATGATTATTCTACCAAAACAAAATTGAGTCGATTAGTGTTCTCTTCAATATTTGGGGCGTGTATGATATGAATTGTGTATCCGCCCCTGTACATCATGAACGCTGTTTGGTGATCAAGGCAGACTGGTTTAATGAAGAGTACATGAACGTTCTCTGATATGCCAGCATGCTATAGATATTTGCATGGAATATTCAATCCAGACCCTATAAACCATAATAACTAATATCAACCTAGGTATGCCTCTCTCTTGAACATTTTGATACTGGATCCATTTCGTTCCGATCAAAAGAGCAAGTCATCGACTACAAATGAATAACTAATAGGATTGATTTTATTTTATTAGAGCAAAATGATATATTTTAAAAGGCTAACTCCTAAATCATTGTTCACTCCCCGCCCCCCTCCCCCCGCCTCCCTTCCAAAGAGCAGTCGCAATATCAGTGCCCCATGGTACTGATGACATCAATGATTCTCTCCTAATATGGTCTTCCTTGTTGAGAGAGATTCTCTGAAGTTGTACTTGTACACAGCAGTTGGCCCAAGCGACATCTTTCAAAGTCTTCATAATAAAATAAAAAACAAAATCAAACTGAGTTTTCATTTTACAAAATAAATTACGGACTTGATTTTTTATTCTCGACCAAGTATTTTTGGAATTGTTCGCCCCACCCGAGCCCTTTCTGGTGGGAACCTATATTGTCCAGCTGACCGAAGCCTCGTTTCGTGTGAACCAGGCCCATTATGTATCAAATAATGTCTCTCTTGTGATGCCCCACCTTGGATTTGTGGGTACCTGTGTAAAGGTGGCGCTGACCTTTGCCTGTCCAGTCTTCTTGCAATTGATGATTTACTACGATCCAGGCTTTGAAAGCGCTCGTATGGGTTCGTATTGTTACTATTGTCATAGTGATCATTTGATCTTTTAAAGTACCCATTTGGGTCGTTTATATCGTAACTGAAGCCAGTTCTGTCCGTTTTCAATCTTCTTTCATTCTGAAATAAAACAAGAGATAACAGTTAAGTAGTGTAACCTGATGTTTAGAGTGACTTTTGTTGTTACACAGTATGCTACACTCCCCTCCACAAGTATGGTAACCTGCAGTTCTATTTTTAATATGCTACACTCCCCTCCACAAGTATGGCAGCCGACAGTTCCATTTTTAATCACTTATTAAACCTTGTTTATGGTTGAAAGTTTAAAAATGATCTTTGTATAAATCTTTTCCAAAGTATTGCGATCACGAGATAAATCTTTCAAACATTGACAGGCTATGCTATCCAATAAAGACTTCCACCCAAACTCATGGGGGCGGGAGAGTGTACGTATTGGAACTGGTCCCTAACATTTACTATTTTTCTCATTTTCATGTTTAAGCTTGTTGTAAAATTCAAAATACCTGTCATATTTTGAGAAACAACATCAAACTACTATACTGGAGTTGTAACTTGCCTAGTTCCCTCGAGTTACCTGTACATATACGTATGCACCATCAAAATATAATTCTTAATTAAGCTGACGTGACACCTTTAAATCGATGATGGTTTTTTAGATTCTTGTATGTTTTCCTCATCGGTATTTGGAAATACGTATGCCCGATGTAGCCAGCAGTAGCACACATATCCACGACATCTTTTAACTACAACTAAACTTTATTTACAAATGTTTAACTTTCAACTTACCAGTTCATTACTCAGACGATGTATTTGATTCTGAATGTCTTGTTTCCAGTTCTAAAACACATAATCGAAATATATCACAGTAAGCAACATATTAAAATATATATCAAACGTGTTAGACTAATAACAAATAGGCCTATGTAAATAAATAAAGCATTTGATAGCCAAAACAATCGATATACAGTTACTATTTCATTGATTCCAATATTCATTTGATTGAGAAAAATAATATACAAACAAATAAACAATAAAACAAACAAACATAAACAAACAACCAAGCAATGGAGTGAAAAAAGACAGACAGGCAGACAAATAAACAAACAAACTACCCCGCACCAACAAAGAAAATATTGAATATCGATGGACCATTTGATAAGGTTAAAATTAAATCTAAAACGTTTGTAGATAATGAAAAGAAGTCGGAACGTCAACCATTGCTTTTTTCTAAGCCTTATGAATATTCATTAGCTGAGGAGTTCATCCGCATTTGTTATTCATTATTTCAAATCGTCCAATGAAATCATCGGATCTTCTCTTTTGAAATTCAAACTTTTGAAATTGATCTGATTTTCATATTCAAATATTTGAAATAAAACCACTCAATAAAAATGCCATGTATAAAATCAATACTGACGCTCTGTAGAATGAACTATTCATAATCGCTAATCCAAATATAAAATGGGATCAAATTCACTTTGGACCCTTTGCACTTTATGATTATCCGTAAACCGATCAATAGATCAAGTATATCTCAATATAGATGCAGATTGAATTTGAACCGTCAAATGGAAAATACTTGTCAACATACACAATTCTCTCTATTTTAACCATTGCTTCTGGCACATTGGTCAATATATTCATCATTGACTTAAAAGATTTCAATGTGCTCTGAAATTCTAAAGAATGGAGGTTTTAATCAGGAAATTTTCAGACATATCTGGATTGATAAGCTAAAAAAGTGACAATATGTCTCATTTCATAAACTTCGAAATCTAATCATACTATTTAGACTAGGTATTTCCTCGAATACATTTCACTGTCTCAAAGGAACATTTTTTGTACGACCATTATTCGTATTTTGACCAAAACATAGATATTGCAATTGCGATTAAGAAAAAAATATCCTCTTTCTGAAAATGTTAACGCTATTCCCTTATATGGATCAACGGAATCCTAGTCTTGCCTCAAGACTGTAGACCCACCCCCTCATCCCCCCTTATCCCCCCCTTATCTACTTCACCAGAACAACACTCACTTGGGCTTGGGGCTAGGGGTAGCTAGATTATTAGAATCGATTTGAATGAAGAAATACGAATTGCAACATAAGTGAAACAAAAATATGGAAATACTGCAACCAAAAACGATATATCTGGAATGAAGTCTTCATCAAAGGTTTTACGAATTGTGCGCTTGGAGGATCTTGTGGCAACTTTATGTTTCACATCAATGAATCCATTTTTAATTAACCTCTATTTATTATAATTAGCGTCATGTTGTGTCTTCCACATTTCTTAAAATAGGGATATTTATCGAGGTCATATGACATGGTCGACACCAATAAATCGATCTATTTACATCGACAAACCTTCAAGGGCGACGTTAACAATGATTATTTATTATCAACATTTTTTTAATTTAAATGTTGAGACAAAAATATAACAAAAAGTATGCATAGATAAAAGCATGTCTCCATGTGGTATCACATGTGGACCGAGTTCAATATAACATAGTTTTCACACAGCTGTAAAAACAAAAATAGAATATTCAGATTATGATAAAATCTTATCCACTTAAAGGCAGAATCAGATCTATAGGGGTGAAAAAAATTACAAGCAACATGTACAATTGACCCATTAATCTATTCTTTACAATCTCAAATACAATATTTCCAAAAGGATTCATGATACGTTATAAATCGATGAAGTTATTATGGATTCAAAGTTCAAAAATGGGTAAAAATGTTTAAATTCTTCCAAATAATAAGAATGGTAACCATTCTTATAGAAAATGACACCTTATTGTAAAAATCTTTAGTTTTCCTAAAATAAAGTGTGCGCTTTGGGATTTTTAGAAAAAAGACATGACAAGGAATGACATGAGCCAGAAAGGAGTGGTATCGATATGGAGAACTTTTTGAACACACGTTTCTCTTAAACTAGTCATAAAATAAATCTAAAAATTTAACACATCGTCAATTAAATGGTCATCTTTTGAATGGTAACAATATAATTTGAAAAATATATATATACTTTCATCTATATTGTTTTAGAAAACACATCAAACACTTGTTTTGTTCTTGGTATCATGTTTCCAGTGTGAAATGAAACATCTTTCCGAACCTCATTGGAACAAAACGACATAAACAAAACATGTTTAGGTCTCTCAATATTGTAATTGTACGAATGAAATTTTGGTTGATTTTAAAAAAGTATCTTGTTAATGAAATAAAAGGTTTATCTTGATTTTTATCTATTTTGGGGGGATTTTGTTTTAATTTTTTGAATACTTTTTTAAAATAAACCAAAAATTCCTTTGTATAACTATAATATTGAGAGGTCTAAAAACATGTTATTTATGAAGATGTAGTGTTCTGGGTACTCGCGCTCTTTGACAGGCAAAAGTTAAGAGAAACACAACTAAATAGGTTTGTTGTTGGCTATATAATATGATGACGTAATTATATTATAAATTACATAATGTTACATAACAATACTTTTGCCGATAGGGCTAACAACCCCCCAAAAAATGTTAACAAAAACAGTTATGCAAAATAAATAATTTTCGCATTAAATTGTTGTCAATCAGTCATCATTACATAAAATACCGTGTTTTTTACAGAATGTTTTCAATGATTGGTTTAAGAGAAAAACATTGTTGAATTCAGTTCTCCATATCGATACCACTCCTTTTCTAAAATTGAAACAATTTTTGTTTGCCTGCTCGCTAGATCTGATTCTCTCTTTAAGTAAAATAATTAAGTAGAAATCTAAATAAAGTAAAATAAAATATTTCCAAAGTATCGAAAAGGTAAAAACCGGATATATACCTTTCAGACAATAAATAGAGCAAGCCACAAGATGCATAACAAAAAAGATATCTGTCAATCTCAATAAAACAATGATTTTTCATCAGAGAATTAGATATGCAAAATATAAATGCCAATCATTCCGTTTGATTAAAAATGCTATCAAATGATGTATCTGACAAAGAAATAGTCGATAGAATTAAGTGCACATTGATGATGAAGATGTTATATTCCATTGATCGATAGACCGAATAACAATAAGTCAATCAATCAATCAATCAATCATTCAATCGACTAGCCATCCAACCAAACAAGAAGACAAGTAAGCAACAAAACAACCAGCTAATAAATCAATAAAACAACTGATTAATTAATAAATCAATCATGCAATGAATAAATAATGTGAATGAATGAATGAACCAGGTAATCAACTAATAAACAAACAAACAAACAAGCAAGCAAGCCAACTCACCAACCAATCAATCTACCAACAAATAACGAAATATCTACCAACAAATAACGAAATACTAGTATAGTAACCTGGTAAGTAGGCAATCATTCAGCCATTCAACCAAGCAACCTACAAATAAACAAACTATCTGGCAAGCAAACAATCAATCAACAACCTAGCAAGCAACCAATCAATGAAATAATCAACCAATAAACAAACAAACAAGCAAGCCAACTCACCAACCAATAAACAAACAACCTGAGAAGCAAGTAAGCAAGCAACCAACTAAATAATCAAAAAAACTAACAAACAACCTAGCAAGTAACCAATCAACCAATCCATTAACTCACAAATAGATCCTCCATCAAAACCAATGTATAACTTACACCATACGGTTCTCGTCTCTCCATATTCCACTCGCTAGTAGCTGTCCATATCTGGGGGTAGGCTAAGCTCTTGTTCATGAGGACCTGGTGAAGGCTGAGGCGATGATTTGTGCTCGAGGACGCCTCACTAGGGGACCTTGTCCTCCTTGGGGCAAGCCACGCTACTGATGTTGTGGCCATATCTCCTTGGGTTTGTTGATGGGTTGTGGGATAGACCTGCCAACTGGTCTTCGTTTTTCTAGTTTTTGTCCTTTGATAAGAACAAAACAAATGGTCTAGTATAGCAGGATAGGCTTGCCACGGTTTCCTTATTTTTATGACTAGGGTAGCGCCTTTTCCCTTTCAAGTGTTGTTGACCTTTTGTTGGGATTGACCTGATCGCCAAGACTGACTTTGCCGACGATTTTATTCTTTATTTGTTATATTTCCATTCGTAGTTTGTTTTAATACAGTGTACCTGTATTTTTTCTCACCAGTTCACGTAAGCAAATGGTCTAGTATCAGCGAGAGATCACTTCAACTTACACGCACTTCAACTAGATTTTTTACTATCCAGTAACATGTCATTAGCTTTCCGATCCGAAGAGATTGCCTCGTGATTCCAAAATTTGTTAGATAATCCAATGAAATGATCTCGCCAAATGTTATTTTATACAAATGTCACCAATCAGTACATTAGTAGATCATGGTGTATATAAAAAAATGACACGAATATTATCAATTTCCACTATTTCACTGTTTTATATTCTAGTTAAATCATATTCCAGTCTTGAAAGATTACATCAAAATCATCATTTATTGATATCTCCTATGTACGTGTAATTAATATTTAATTTTCAATTCCAATCAGCTGGTTTGTTTCTGTATCTCCATGCTTGTTCCTTGTTGATAGGGGAGCACTGGTTGTTCCTTGGAATCATTGCACCATTGTATTCATTGATAAACATTATATAAAGAGTGGATCAGACAATACATCGGTAGAGTTAATACATTTACACAAGTATGGGTTACAATTTAATCTTAGAAACCTCGTAAAAGCCATAAAAGGGATTATAATTTTTGATATATAGCTCAATGGGAACTGAGAAATCAATAAACTCCTGCCAGCTTGAGATCAACTTACAATGATGTTCCCATATAATGGAAAGTTTCAAATGTGAATACTGAACACAAAAATAGTTGCGATAGTATTACAATAACAAGGCATTTACAAGACAAAATGTCACCACTTAGTTGCTCACAATATTATGAGTTCAATCTTATTTGAACCAGATTTGAACTTCTGGGAACTTGTAGTTAATTTTGAAAAAATCGGCCAATTTGAGGCAAGTTGAAAAAAGACCTTTTGAACTTTTTACATTGAGAAGGTCATGGAAGGTCAAGCCTTGAAAATCTAAAACTCAGATTTCAATTTTATGTGGGAGAGTATTGCTAGAATCCATTTCCAATAGTAAGAATATGGGTCTTTCAACAGGACTCACTGGGCTTGCTTTTTAGAACTCGTTTGCTCTAGTATGTCACAGCTTCCACTTACTATCCAGGCCAGTCGACAGGATTTGCCAAGGGGAGTTCAGTTTTCAAAAATTTCCAGGGGGGTTTACATTTGACAATTTTGGCCCAAATATGGCTAAAATCACTTGAGAAGTGCTCAAAATGATGAACAACTGCATGATTTTGAAAGAATTTTTGGCCAGGGGGTTCGCCCGAACCCTGCGAACCCCCCCTGGCTACGGGCCTGCTATCGTATCATATATTCATAGTTTTCATAAATTAAAGACATGTCTAAAAAGAGAGCAACCTTGTCAATGAAAATATACTTGTTATAATATTCTCATTCTGTGATGACGAATTCGAACCTAAATATGTTCATGCTTTTATAAACATCAATACATGAATTATAAACTTTATGATGAATTTTGAAATCACAATAATGTCATTTCAAACATTGATCAACATCATTTGATATCTTTAAATATTGACATTAAAGTATATTATTATATATTTTCGGTCAATCGGTCATTGTGCTATTGGGTGATACCGGACGATAGCCATATAGGAAAACCTTTTCACTTGAGTTGATAACCATGGAAAATTATTTAGAAAAAATGAAGTTTTTGTTCTTGAGGAGACTGATGGATGCACCCCATAAGTCTGTTCAAAAGCAACTTTTCATGCGCAGAATTAGTAGTTACACAATTAAAACAATATGTCATGAAGAATCCAGGGGATTTATAGCTGATATCAAACATATGATTCAGAAGTATGAATATAATTCAGAAGGTTTCGACAATTTCGTTGATACAGGTGAAAAACTTACCTAAGCGATTATGGAAATTGAGGGTAAATGGTAGTATTGACTATTCTGCTGAACAATTATATTTTCATCAAATACAGTCAGATCAGAAGATTAGGCGCTTTTCCAATAGTCATCCTAAATTAAATCCCTGTATTCATTACACATTAGTAAGAAATACCCAGAAAATCTGTGGTCAATAGCACACTTGCTTCAACTTTCCTTGATTCAGGAACATGAAACAAACGTAATATGTAGAATATGTAATTGTGAATATAGAGATGTCACCAAGTAAGCATACTAGTATTTTGATAGATTGTTCAAATGTGAGAGATGACCTGTTCAGTGAAATTACAAATGCACTTGATGTAACAACATCAACTTCACTCCTTAATGGGGATGAAGAAGTTTTAACTGAAGCACTGTTTGGCAATATTCTGATGTTCAATTTACTAATGATGGCATACATGAGCAATTTATTTTGATGTCCTGTAAGTACGTTAATAGAATGATAAAGTGTTCATATTCATTATTAGAACTTTGACTGAACGAGAAGTCCAGGAGCTGCTTATAGTATATTTCCATAAGATACTATATATAAAATGTTGTAATGTAAATAATCGATTAAGTATACACGTTCTTCCTTTTTTAACTAAATAGAATAACATTGTACTCCTAAATGTATGAAGAAATAAAAGTTATACAATACAATACAATACTATGTGTTGTTAAGTTTGGACTATAACGCAGTGCCCTGATTACGTATGTAAGAACACGTTCCAAAACTGGAAGACTAAAGAGCATTGCAAAACACGACAAGACAAAAGAAAACATTCGCAACACAGCCATTCAAAAAGAGAACAACCTCCAGTATCCCAAACTATGATCTCACCCATAGTGACACAGCGTATACATTTGTAGCTACAATCAGTTGAACTTACGACTGGGGAGGGGGGTGTATACAACTTTTTATTAACAATATACTTAATTTATTTATTATATGTTTAAGTCGTTGATATTCGAATAATTACCCATAAATAAACCGATTAGCCCAAACATGTTTATTGATCAAGGTGGTCACTGAGTCGCTGATACTCCTATGTCAAGTCGACATCATAAAAACGAAAAGGTAGACAACGGAGTTAGAATAAAAGGTGAACGAACTGAATGACCAGCACAAACTAAACTGACAAGACTAAAGCGTTTAAATACAGTACAGGGTGACCAAAAGTAACTCTTTCCAGATGGTATCTATGCTATCTATGCAATCGAGTTTATTCACCAGCTACATAATCTAGAAAATCTCGTCAACACTATACAATTCAAGTGATTTCAGGAGAAAAATCATATCTGAAGTTTTGTGAGCAATGAACATTGACATTCGCGTTAGAAATACGAAATACACCTATGGTAAATAGAGCAGTGAATAGCTTCAACATTGGCGTTGCTCATCCATAAATCAGGCATGTTTGTTGATGTCACGTAACTGCTAGATTTAATACTGAGTGGCCTTTAAGGTACCCCAAAACACGTTATTAGCCCATTAATGGGGGTATCAACAGAGATATAGCTTGTTGCAATCAGGGTTCACTTTTTGGACTACCCTTTAGATACGCTGTCCCAAAACGTGAGTGATTTGGTTGGAATAACTGATAAATAGGTAAAGTTAGGTCCCCAAATCTAGTGAATTTCATTTCTATTCTTACATTTTCTAAAAAATCACTCATGATTTAAGGATGCGTAATCTAAGTTATGCCATTGGTTAATTGCAACCCATACAGTGTCATTTTTACAACTAGGTATAAAACTTGCCGATGGGCAAAGTATATTAAAAAGTGAAAATTTCAGTTGAAGTGCAATTAATGCCTCGCGTCTAATTCAAGTGTATAAAATAATTTCCGGTTCATTGCACCAAACCACATCTTGTTGCAATTGAGCATCTCACCCTATCAAATTTTGAAGAGGGAATGGGCTTATAAAGCACTTTTATTGATATCACTCCAGCTTTTGACCGTCTACCACACAATCTTCTTTTACTCAAATCAAAGTCACATGGTATACAGGGACAGACACATACACACATAACTCCTGCCTTTATAAAAGAGGAGGCAGAGTGAATATTCCCATATCGAAAACAAACGTTATCAAAAATGGAGTACCCCAAGGATCAATTGTATGTCCTATTCTCTTCTTGCTATATGTGAATGACCCCCTGACAATAAAGATGCATGCATACGAAACACCCATATATTTGACTCTTTGATGTCATCACAATGGTATATTAGTCAGTACAATGTACAATATACAAACATAAATTAGACTTAACTAACTACAAACTACTAAAATATAGAATATATACTGCATGACAAATGCAAAAATATTCAAAACAACCAAATGTACTTGTAGAGCACCCGAACCACCTAAACATTCATTTTTACTGCCGAAAACTATAGCTATGAAGACTAAAAATTAATATACTTTTCTGAAATATGGGAGTGACATTGCATCGTTCTAGCAGAAATTAAATAGCATTTTTGATATAATGAATTCATTGTAAAACTGAACTTGTTATATCTCAATTCGTGAAGCTCCTGTAACTTCAAAACGTTTATATTGAAAAAGTTATTACAGTTTTGGTCAGATCTGTTTTTGGGCCACCCTGTATTTGATCATATACTCAATTCAATGTGGAAAATACGTGGTCTTCAATGGGATGACAATGGCGGGGAACGAAGTATTAACCAGCTAAAGGGATACATTTTTCAGATCAAACGAATTGATAAATAATTAAGGCGACACATGCCTTTGAAAAGCTTGATAAAATATTGTTTATACGACACAGACTGAGTAATTGTATGTTATGAAATATATGTTAGGTATTAGAAGAATTAATATGTTTAGATTTATTATCTTAAAACTGCCTAGACCATGTTTTTACTCAAGCAAATCTCTAAACATTGAAAACTCCGTACTTTTATATAAATGTATGGGTAAAATGTGGAGAAATAATACTTACAATGCGTTTTTGAATGATCCTTTAAAAACATGCAAATTATTTGTTTTAATAATACTTTTTTGACCATGTATTACAATTCATTATTGGACCCAAAATAAATCAATGACAATCCTATTACTTTCCATTGATTTCTTCATTAGATAAAACAATTTTGAAATAATTGTAAAACGATATTTGTCGTTGCATAATTAATTCAAAGTTCTCAATCATACCAAACTTGGTAATCAATTTTAATGAATATTCTGACTTTAATCCAAATCGACCGTTCAATAAACAAACTTCAATGATGAATTACTCCAACTAAGAAAAGAACAAATGATCCGCTTAATTGGACATGTACTACTTTCACAAATAGTTTACAATACGATAGAGGCATATGCGATTTAATTAAAATAACATGTCATCTCTATTCGATCACTCAGGGTATAGGGTCTATTAGGGATCAGTGATAAACAATTAAAGGATATATGTAGGATCATAATGGATCTTCGCCTCTATACAGCACTAACTTTAATATTCTGCTTAGTTATTCAGCAATGCGACACTTATAAGGTAAGTTTATATTGTATATTACGAGATTAATGATGATTCTGGCTTATAAGTATTTTGTATTCATTAGTTTATTAATTTCTTTATTTACCAACAATGTAAATTAAGGGTTATTATTAAGGAAGGGTTTGATTTAATGTTATTTGTATATAAATTTTGAATCTTTAATAATTTTTATAAATGGGATTTATATTATTTTAAACATTTCAGTTTAAAAGTGGGGAGCATCGTTGTTTTGCCTTCCTGATAATTTAATCTGTAAAATAGCCTGTTTTGACAACATGTTCTAGTTTGTACTAAATCGAGTGTGTTCGTGTGCAATTGGTTTAGAAACAGAATATTAACAGAACATGTACATTTTCTGCTACTATTTCTAGGGTTTTATGATTATTCTTTAATGTCACTGTATTCAAGATCTTGTTAGATGAGGGATTGAGAATCATATGTGTCAAGACCAAAACGTAATAGAACGTTAAGAAAACGAACATTTAGAGTACAATCATAAGTAAAGAAATAGCTACCTCACGTACAAAAAACACTAGGGAAGTGAAGTTACACGTTTTGAGGAGAACTCGTAGGTGGACGTGACTCACAATACTATAACTATTCTCATCCCAATTGGTTTTTCAAAGGAACCAATTACAATTATTTCCTTGTCACTTTTATACTCAATCCGGCAAGAAAATACTACGAAGCGGACAACTAATCCCCAAAAAGACCATACGTCTACAGGTTTATGTGCATTCTGTTTTAAACGTGTAGCCTAACCTCCCTATTGTCTTACACAATAGTTTAGTTAGTTTGAAAACTCTCATCACAATCAACCACAGCCACAAGATTATGGATAATAATCCCTAATTACAGATGCAAACAAAAAGTGGATCTTTATCTTCTACTGAAGGTGGTTTTACTATCATCTTATACATAAAAATATGACTTATGTCTTGATTACCATATAAGATGGCTTTAATGTACTCGCTAACAACTGTATATGTCAAGCAGAGAAAACATAAAAGGTGATTTGCACAACTTTGTTGATATTGAAATCGTTCAAACAATAATGTGACAAATTACTTATTATGTTGATATCTTCAATCATTCAATGTCCGTCAGATCATTTTCTTTTTATACAGTTGTATGATTTGGTTTATTTGATGCGTCGGCTGTATTACAGTGACTTGAACACTTTTATGACCCAGTGTTTTGTTTTGACCAGTATTTAGTATTAACCAGTATTTAGTCTTTTCTATAGTTTGATTTGGTTTCTTTGAATGAGAGGTTTGCTTACAACTATCTTTTCATGCTCAAATAAGGTAGACACTACATTGTACATGATACAATACTTTTATCAAAGTATACATGTTTTTAGTACGTTTTAGTTCATCATCAGAATATATTATGACAGAAAACTCTCCAATTGCCTTTTCAGCATTAAAGAAGAATTTTTGCATACTCAATATTCAAAGGATGTATAATTTCAATGTATTTGTACTTTCCAGAACATGTATGTTTTCATTAATGACCCAATTATGATCCAATGACATTATTTTTTGATTTGTACAGTATCCGAATACAATACAAACATTGATACATATTTACTTTGCTGCTTTATGTAATTTTTCAACATAGTTCCAGTCAATAATTGATGGTAATCGCATGTTACAATATCAAAAATAACGCAAGTCAAAGTTCCACAATTAGCTTTTTTAGATACCATCTGATACTAATGTCCAATTCGCTGTATAATGTGGTATTACAGAAAATATCTTTCAAAATAACTTAGTATTACAGCAGTATATCTTGTTCTATTTAGGTATTTCAATGAAACAGTATGCTTTGGTTGGCAGTAATCAAGCATGTATCTAGCAATACTGTAATATTCATGACCTGGTGAAACAAGTAGCCCTACCCAAATCATAATACAGAGTGAAACAAAAATGCCACCCACTGATTTTGAAATAAAACGTTCTCAATAATTACGGAATCTTCATGGTTTGGTTTTTATGTCTAGATAGAATGTTTAGGGCATTGAAAGATTGGTATGATTACAGCTTCAATAATTTGGAAATTGAGAGATAGCCTAACTCATTTTTCGCAGAGGCATGCTCTGACACAAAGTCAATCAAAAATCTAAATTAGGAATTCTGTTTTTCTTAAAATCTACCCAACAAACAAGTCAGTTCATCAAATATGACAAAAAAATTACATGAATATTTCATAATTATTGAGAAAGTTATTCCACAATATTGGAAGGCATTTTTGTGTCACCCTATACTATTCTCCAAAAATATCTGAACTATTGGCCTGGAATTTTTAGACAGTATTATTTAACCATTGGTACAAGTTAAACATGCTTGTGGTTTTACAAAAACATTTTTGCGAAACTTGATGTAACTTTGTGATAAGTCTGCAAATTTCAATTCGTTTTTATATCGTTAACATCACATTTCGATGCTCATATAAAAGACACTGAACTTTTGTTAACACAAATTTATATCTAATAAGAATTAATCTTTGTGGCATGTTAATTTGAGGAGGAATAGAATTATGTGGTTTAATACATGATGGGGATTAAGTTGTTGAAATCATCTTGATGAATCAATAAATGTTTAACTAATCCCCAGTACACAATTGTGAATGTATGAGTTCAGTTGAAGACACTTGATTATTTCTGATATTTGAGATGACCATATTAGTTACAAGGCATTGATTTATGAATTTTATATCAATGAATGCATTTTATGAATACTCACTCTGTAGCCTATAAGTTATATTGAAAAATATAGGTTTTTAACTGAATCACAATTTAAAATGTTCTTAGTAAGTAAATATTCAAGATTGAATAACTAATAATTAGGTATTCATTTGTATAAGTATGATGTCTAAAATCATTTCTCCAAATTAAATGCTTCAAACATGTTTAACACAAAGCACTATAGTAATACAAAATAGTGTATCGCTTAATACAGTCAAGTCTACACTTTTATAATATAAGTTAAATCACACACCGAGTAGTAGCAGATAAGGTATCGTTCATATTCTAACCTTTGTGTTGGGTCAAAAAATATAACTTAGATATCAGCAATCAGCAATCATCAAATACATTCATTTTATACAAATAATATTTAATTCATATTAAGATGAACGATAATAATAGCTGCCTCCTTTAAGATTTCAGATAGGAAGTCGTGATATCATCGATACTATTTAATTTCGTAAAAAGTACATAACGTATATTGAAAACTACAATTTATTGATGAAACACAATTAACTATGTCTCAGGTTGAAATGACACAAATGGAATCGTTCTATTGTGTACTGATATGAAGTACATGTACAAATGCCCCAGTCACATTTGATCTACGGTAACCGTACAGCGGCCGTAGCTTCCTAAATCGGGAGAAATATGCAACACAAAATATAGAGATGAGCAGAATTATTATAAAATTGCAAGAAATCGAATGAAATATTTACTTATTACAATTTAGATTTTCTGCATTTATTTTGTGAAGCGACGACTGCCGTACGCAGTATTTGGAAAATATCTACAGGGTGGTGAAAAAATCGGCAACCCTATATTTTCCTCATATTTTTGTCATTTTAGGGAAATACTTCCTGATATTTTACACACTTGTACAATGTACATCAATCAATTTACTATCAGCCTACCATATTTTATGACCATCAGACTGATAGTCACAATGCAACTTTAAACAATATGCCCCGGGTGTGTCCATCATCACGCTTTGGCAAACCTGCACAAGTTGTCTCTGACCTAACTGCAATCCTCAGTAGGTATGCCCTGAATGACAACTATTATCTCCCTTTTGAGGTCTGTAATTGTCCTGAGATCATTTTTGTACACTTTATCTTTGGCATATCCCAAAGGTAGAAGTCGGGTATGAACATTTTGGACGACGGGTGCAGGTTTGCCCACAGCGCAATATTGGCCCCTGGAGCATGTTGTTTAAAGTGATGTAACATTGTAACTATCTATCTGATGCTCATGACATATTGTGTGCTGGTGAATTACAAAGATATGAGAAAAATAGCGACAGGGTTGTCGTTTTATTTGACCACCCTGTACTTAGAGGATTAATATAAAATGTAAATGGTATCTAAATCATTGAGTTATGTAGAAGATTAATTTTAAATGTCAATCCGTACAATTCTAAATTATTTATGTGAGTTTCTGGATGTTATAGATAATCTCTGGATTATAACACCCTCGCAGTGTCCCTAGTTCAATATTATCTTTAAAATACTTTATGTCTTTTTATTTTTGTGATTGTTCTATGCAACTTTTCATTTAGATAATTAAAATTGGAATAATAGATAAAACGATTTTTGATCTAATTTGGTCAACAATTCAGAACTTATGTAGTTTAGTTATATACAGGGTGTACCAACATACTTTGCCCACCTAACAATGAAAATCTCTTTAACAAATAGAGTTTGATAAAAGAAAGTTTACACAATTAAAGTAGACAGAGTGTATGGTCATTCAAATGCCGGGCAAGGCTGTTGACAACACGTGTGCATTCATCCCTGGATATGGCTCTTATTTTTGTGTTATATCTTGTTTCAGCTCTGCAATAGTTTGAGAATTGATGGTATATACATTTTCCCCACATTGACCCCACAGATAAAAAAAATACTGGTGGTTCAGGTCTGGGGGAGGGTTACCCAGTTATCTACTGATAAATCGATCTTCAAAATGTTTCTGAAGCCACTCCAAAGTGATGTCGGATCTGTGTGGCGTAGCTCCATCTTGAAACCATTGGGATGGCCTATCACCACCATATTTTCTTTGTAGAACCCTAAAAACTTTTTAAGCACAACAGTTGAACGTTCTTTGTTTATGGTTACACTTTGCCATTCCTCATTTTCAATGAGGTTTGGCCCAGTGATTCCATGTTTACTCAAAGAACACCATACAGTAGATCTGGTAGAGTGAAGTGGTTTCTGAGCCACTTCAGCAGGAGCATGGTCACCACAAAAAC